AAAAAAAGAGAAAAGGAAACAAAAAAAAAAAGGCAGAAAAGAAAGGGAAAAAAAGGAAGGAAGCGTCAGCACTATCAAGCGGAGGGAGTCGTGGAACTACAAGGGACAAAAGCCATCCCGTTGGGGAAGACAGCGGTCGGAAGGGAAAAGCCTCAAACCAGCCCGGTTGGCCTGACGCTCTCCCAATAGCCAGTATCTCCCGGCCAGGACCGAGAGTGAGTTGTTCTCTAAGTCCATAGGTGCCCACCCCACTCCTCCGGGGGGGTCAGTATTACGAGGTATGGGAAAGGGTCCCGGTTCAGTCTAAGAGGGTATGGAGCAATCCTTATTATTTCTCTTCAAAAGAACGAAAAAGGAAAAAGGGGGGGAAAAGGGGGGCAAAAAAGAACATGAAAAGGCAGAAAAAAAGGAAAAAAAGAAAAAAAGGGGGGGAGACGAAAGCGCAGAAGGTCCTTATTCCCACGGGGCCAGCTATCCCATCTCCAAGCGCTTTCCTATCCAACCATCGCTGATATCCCTGTATGCATGTGTGTGTGTGTGTGTGCGTGTGTGTGTGTGTGTGTGTGTGTGTGTGTGTGTGTGTGTGTGTGTGTGTGTATGTGTGCGCGCGCGCGTATGTGGTGGTGGTTGTGTATGTGGTGGTGGTTTAAGAAAGGATGATAATCTTTCTTTTTTCCTACCTGTGTACGCTCACCGTGTGCGTTTGAAGTGTGCATGATGTGAGTTTCATAGCATAATACCTCTTAAAGCTCGTGTGAACCTACTTGGATTACGTGCCAAGTGTGAGTGAGCGCGCTTGACTGTGACTGTGACTGTTACTGTTACTGTTACTGCTATTATACCGCTTGGTTCTGATTACGACGATATCAAGACTCAAGTGGAAATTCAAATTGAACTGAAGATTCACGATGTCGACAGGAGGTCGTTCGTATGATCGTGGTGGCCGACGTGATGGATTACAAGAGCGGGACGGTTATAATCGAGAGGACTTCGATCGAGGGAGACCAGGCCATCAGGAATCCGAATGTGGTCGATCGAGAGAACGGGAATGGAGGGACACTCGGGATGATGCCGACTATCAGCGACGGCCGCCACCACTTTGCTATGGCTGCAATGTTCCAGGACATTACAGGAGCGATTGCTGGAGATTTTGGAGAAATGCTGATTCGAGACGTAAAGCTGAACGTGACGGGTTTACCTGTCCTCCAAACTTTGACAAACGGGGAAGATCAGGTTCTCCGACGCGAAGCCATCGAGCATCATTCCGAAGATCTCCCTCGTTGGATTTTAAGATGATGTCTAAGATCGCAAAACTGGGGGACATCGTGATTACACTGAAGGAATTTGTGGACGTGGAGAAATCAAGGAAACTGGAGAAGGAACGTAAACGCTAAGAACGGGAAGAAGCACGACGTGAAAGAGAAGAGGCGAGGCAACGAGAGGAGGAGCGCATACGTAAGGCTGAGGCAAGAAAGACTAAGAAGTTGGAGAAAACTAAGCGGCGCGAAGAAGAACAGCTTGCGATGATTAAGGCGCTGGAGGTACAAATGGCGATCAGGCTGAGCCAGATACATAATGACATCAAGAATGAGGTCCGAAAAGCAGTTGAGACTTCAAGAATGAAAGGCAAGGCAAAGGTTGTTGAGGACGTTCCAAAAACTTCGCATGGGAGTGTCGGCGAACTGGAGGTGGAAGAGACTACAGACGAGATGGAGAAGTTATCACTTACCGAGAAAAAAAAAAGAGGTGAAGATGTTGATGTGGGGGATGGTCCACCCGTGGTTAAGCCGACAAAACGTGTTGACAAGACGTCAACAATTACACTTGTGAGACTTTCGGAGAGACTTCAATGGACAAGAACGCGCGTGAGTAAGCGGATAGCGAGACCTGTCTCAGCAAGATGCCGAATGGCAATGAAACCGCCAGTACTTGATCAAGAGATGAAGCGTATGCTATACTTGGACAACACCAAACGAGAGTTGGCAATGCTCGATTATGACAAGATCCGAACCCTGTGCCGGAACAAAGTTGTAACCCATACTATTAAGATTCAAGTTATCTTCGACCTGGCTTATACAAGAGCCGTTGTTCGTTTCGGATCAAGTAACAGCGAGGCAAAGGAATGTTGAGTGGAGATTGGGGACGAGCTATGTAAGTCAAGTCATGAGGATTCAGAGTCTGAATCGCCGGAATGATGTGATTTGACGATCCAACAATCACAGGCAGTCTGTGAGACCATTATTGATGTTCGTCATAACTTTGGCTGTATTAATCAGGAAGTTGAATACCTTTTCCACTTGTTAATAGTGTACCTTGCAGTAGTAGGATGTTACAGATGGCTGCGAAAATATGTAGATTCCAGGGTTCGACTATTCAGACATTTTGGAGTTGACTTTGTTTCGCAATCGCACTATGTATATGTGATTACATCGCCGAGATGTAAATCACAATACATGGGACAAACCACGAGAGGTCGTGATGTAAGATGAAATGAGCATGTGTTGGTTTGGAAACGAAAAAGGAAATCCACATATCTTTATAGATGGTGGATGAGAATTGGTATTGAATCATATGTTATGATTCCAATTGATGTAGTTTCGCAAACTGACTTGTTGACTGTAGAAACTTGTTTTATTAAGCGTTGGAGTCCATTTCTGAATACGGTCGGGGTATTGACGAAAGAGGCAAAAAATAATAATAAGCGGAAAGGTAAGCATGAATGATCAAGGTCAAAGAAGGACTTGTACATTGGGAATAACTGTATACTGCCGGTCAGGGTTAGGAGAGAGCACGACGACGACTGGTCGGTACAGATTTTTGATACACTAAGGGAGTTGAATGATAAAGGGATTCGGGAATTTGACTTGACCTTTAAGGAAGGAAATCTTTGGTGCGATAAGTGGAGGATCTTAAAAAAGACCTTTGGTCTATCATCTCTTCACTTTGGTGGTATAGATGGTGGATTCAAAGATTTTAAAAAAGAGTTTGAAATAGGAGGGGTCTGTAAACTTATGTACCTTCGACGATGGATGTCACGGTCGGGGGTTAATAAACCTTTTCTTATTTTATTACTTCGGAATCCCCGAAGGTACGAAGCTTTGAAGAAATAGGATTTTCGTTCCCTATCTGCATTGTTAACATCGGTCAAAGAATTTCAAACAAAAGAGTACTCATACTTACCTCAGACGCTTGATTTCACGTTGTGTAAAATATTGTTTTTGTTTCAACTTGTTTGCTAAGTTAGTGGTCAGATTGCTCTATGATGATCGGGTCCGTATTTCACAAGTTAGGAAATTGGTAAATGACAAATTGGTCGAATTACCACTTTCGCCTTGTGTGAAGAAGCGAGCACGCTATAAGATCTGAATTATTGGGACAAAAAATCTGAATATTACGGAGTTGTTGCATAATAAGCGGTAGTTTGCAAAAGTTAATGTGCTGGTCTGTGCTTGTGTAGGCCTACCTTACCCAAGGGTAAGAGGTCACGTGCAGTTTCGTTACACGAGGTGAGTGGTGTGTCTTCCATTATGGTCAACTTGGCCAATGTTCCTAAGCCCTCGAGGCAGGACCGAGCATGCAGATTATCTAAAGGGATTGTTGATGCTTTCGACTCTTGGCCGAATGGTAAGGGGTATCGAGTGGTTTGTACAACTGAAGAAATACAGTATTGTATGCAGAAGGTTGAGGATGTCTCGACAAATCTGTTGAGTTTCGAAGCGATCAAAGAATGGAAGGTGAAGTTACATGGGTTAGTACTTCCCCCCCCTAGATCGCAATCCAGGCGTGGCGTACGTAATGTGTCCGATATTGTATTTCGACGGGATGATGAACCTGTTCATCCGCAATCCAAGATATGCTATCGTCGATCATGGTACTGAGACCTCCTAACTGTAGAGGATGAAGGAGGATTTGGCAGATGCAGGATTGATGTCCTTTGCCAAATGGGATAAGTCTAAGAAATTGGGGCAGGCATAGCCTATGCCGAAGCATAAGAATCCAGATCGGTTCCGATCTATTTGTCCTTCGTATTCAGAGTCGACTGCCAAGACGAGTAAGGTTTTGGAAAAGGTCCTGAATCAAATGTTATTTTCGATCCCTACTCACTGGCAATTTAATTTGAAGACGGTATCACATATGGCAACCAAGTTCGATGAATTTAATCGAGGAATAGTGAAAGAAGGCACTAATACCCTTGAGTCGCGTCCTGATGATATTAAGGATATGTTTAGTTTACTCCCACACGAGGAGATGATTAGATCTGTCGATATTAAGGACATGTTTAGTTTACTCCCACAGATATGACTGTTGAAGATTCACCAGGAGAATAAACGGAATTTCGTTTAGGTAAATACTCGGGGAAAAGGAGCATCGTTTGGTCAAACAACAAGATTTTACCATTGGAGGAAATTAGACATTAGGGACTTCCTTAAGTTCGTTAAACTCGAATTGAGTCATACCTACACATTTGCATCATCAGTTCTGATAAAACAGGAAGTAGGGATCCCAATGCGGAAAAACACAAGTCCCCCATTGACCTGCATTCTTTGTGCTAAGTGTGAATTTGATTTTCTGAACAGTTTGGGAATGTATAGATCGAATGTGTTCGGAATACGACTGATGGACGATGTGGGAATGATTGTGGCTGGAAAAACCTTGACATCAAAGGATTCCAGGCTAATTTTTGTAGATTTCAAAGCATGCTACCCTAGTAACTTGACTCTGAAACGAACTGATACGGACAATAATAAGTGGGATTTTTCAGGGTGTGAAATCAGGATACAAACTCACTTCGCGCACGTGGGAAGTGCTCACTGCTCAATTGTCAAAGAACGAGGCAACGATCTGGAACTCTAAGAAACTAGATTTTTTGAACGAGCAAACATTCGAATCTTGGGGAAGCAAAGCCCGAAAAAGCACGATAGTCAATAGCTATCTACACCGAATTGACAGAAACACGACAATCAGGGCGGAGATTTCAAGACGAGTTTTGACACTAAAGAGATAACTGAGATTAAGGAAGTTTCCGAGGAAGTTTTTTGATCGAGTCTTGAAATCCTTCTCACAAGGAAAAGGTGAACCTTGGACTGGAGCTTGTGCCTTGATCACATTTGGTCGAGTAGACCTGGTGACAGGATGTTCTCCGACTTTTGGTTGGACTCTGGAGTCATACTTGATTTTTTTAATTCAGGTGACAGGGTTTTGTGCAATTGGCTGTTTGGATTTTAAATTTGTGGATTTCTGGGTTCGAACGGGTTAACTGTTTTTCAATTTTGTAGTTCTTGGTATTCGGCTGATATGGGTTTGAACTGGTTACTCCGTTTTTTTGTATCTGGCCTAAATGGGTTCGAACTGGTTACTCTGTTTTTTGGTATTCAACCTAAATGGGTTCGAACACAGAACCTTCTGCAGAAGTGGATGTGGGATTCGGATGTAGGATTGGAACCCGATGTTGTTTAACTAGAATTTTCTAGATGCCGCAATCGGAGTCCCCAGACCCGGGATGTGGTTTGGTGTTGAATGTGGGTCCGATAGTACTTTTAGTTGTTGCACCGGTACTTTTTTGGACTAGGTGCAGGCCCATTGTGGTTTTCAGTGTGGAAAGGTCTTGATGTGGGTGAGGTTAGGTACCTGGGCATCGACTTGGACTAGGCTCATATGTACCGCACGTTTTGAGGTCTGGACGTTTTCGGAACGTCGAGACATCGGGAACTCAGTCAAATGGTATATAGGTAGGATACTCGAAAGGTTAGGCGCGATGATAATCTTTTTTTTTTCCTACCTGCGTACGCTCACTGTGTGTGTTTGAAGTGTGCACGATGTGAGTTTCATATTATAATATCTCTGATATTTTAACTGAGTAGTTGTACGGCTAGTATTTTAGTTGATATCTTGGTTTGTTTCTCTCATATGTGTTTGTGTGTGTGTGTGTGTGTGTGTGTGTGTGTATGAGAGAGAGAGAGAGAGAGAGAGAGAGAGAGAGAGAGAGAGAGAGAGGAGGAGGAGGAGGAGGAGGATGGAAGGAGGGAGGTGTGGCTTTGTGTGTGTATGTGCGAATGTATGTTAGGGAGGGAGGGAGACAAAGAGACCAGGGTTTTTTTTTCCTGAAAAAAGAAATAGAGAGAGAGGGGGGGGAGCGTGGGAGGAAGGAAACGGGGAAGGGGGCTAGGGGACGGCAGGCGACCAGAAAACATACAAGCATACAGGGCAGGGAAAGGGCAACAAGTGCCATAGGCTGGAGGGAAGACAACCTACAAGCACACAAGGCAGGGGAAGACAACAACCAACATAGGTTGGAGGGCAGACAACATGCAAACACACATGGTACGGAAAAGACAACAAGCGACATAGGCTGGATGGGATTGGGGGAGGCACGCGTTCAGACGACACAACAACAACAATCACTTCATGGAAAGTAGACGTTTCGTGAAAATTGGACTCGATTCAAAAACTTTACGAGTGTTTTATTTTTTAATTAGTTTTTAAGGCTCTCACACAAAACTTTTTTTTTTTTTTTTGAAAATCAACCCGATCAACAACCAGGGGTGTTGAATCTGCTGATAGGAGCAGACACCTCTAGTACTGTCGGGGAGGCTCCATCTATTGCTGGGGAGCGTCACCTGCTGGAAAACGGGTCCAGC